GAGAGAGAGAGAGAGAGAGAGAGAGAGAGATTTCTTGGATAGCTGACATTTCTCAGACCCTGACATAAATCGAGTCTTTCCTGAGAGTTATCCCACAGGTTCCTAGAATGGGATTGCTGAGTTCTCAGAAGCAATATTGTCTGGATATGAGGGAATGAGGTGGGAGTTAAGAATGATGTAACTGCCCTGCAGTTTCTGTACTTATATCTCGCTTCGCCTTCTGGACCCAAAGGAGCTAGTCAAGCTTTGGCTGCTATAACTGCAGTGCAGTGGGAGCAGCACAGAAAAGGCTTTCACTCAGTCCACATGTAGGAGGATGTGCCTGCACCATGCCCATGAGCAGGGAGGGGCCATGGCTGAACTTAAGGGCCGGACAGAACTTAAAAGAAAATGCTGCCCTTTCCCACCTCCTACCCCCTTTTCTTCCTCCCCTCACATCCTTCACACTGAAATTCATCTGTGGACACCTGGCACCTATAGGTGGGATGATAGTTATGACTGCTGCCACACAGGGAAGTAGAATGTACAGAGTGATAGGTAGATTCTGGCCTCAGATGCTTGGCTTAGAAGTCGAGCTCTGCCAATTTTCTTAAATTTTTAGTGCCTCAGTTTCCTCATTTGTGAAAACAGCCTTCTTATAGGGTTTTTAGGGAGTCTAAATTACCTAACTATAAAGCACTCACAACAGTGCCTGGCACATAGTAAAAACTTGATTAACACTAATGATTAAATTTATTATCAGGAACTTTGAACATATTGATTTTAATCCTCAATAATCCAGCAAGACCATAGGATTATCCATGTTATAAAGAGAAGAAGACTGAGGCTTAGGAGTGAGGAAGGTCAGCAGCTAGGAAGAAGATTCAAACTCTCCCATCCTGTTCTAAAGGCTCTTTTCTTGCCTAAACTTGGTGCCTCTTGCTTTCTGGTTTTCTCCTTTGGACCAAGCTCCCACACCAGACCGATGCATGAAGTCAGGAGATAAATGCTTGCAGGGCCTCCATTTCCCCACAGGGATGGGTGGCAGAGGTGCCTACAGTTTCTGTACTTCCATTCAGGCCCTTTATCAGGAACCAAGTTCATATGACACATGAAGCACCAGCAATCAGGCTGTGTGAGCCTATTGTCACATGTTTTCCTCATACAGCATTCCTCAGTGTTGAATGGAAGTGGGTAAAAATTGCCTTCCATGTGCTAAGCATAAAGCCCACTACTACCACCCCTGGCAGAGGGTCGCATCCTATTCCTATCCTGCTAGATCAGAGCCTTCTGGGATGGGTGGAGATCTCCAGAGTAAACCAATGAGAGCATTTCTGCTCTCAGCAGCATTGCTGTCCTTTTGAGCAGGCCTTGTAAGCTGAGCCTATTCTTTAGAAACAATGGACTAACCATATTCAGGCATAATTGGCTGGTTACCGCAGGCAGCACTATGTTTACCAGTATTGAAGTTACTGTATCAGGTCCCTCTGAGGAAGCAGGTGAGATAAAGCAGCTTAAAAATGAAAGCTGGGGTTCCGGTCCCACTTAGGATAGACTAAGTACACTGTGCCCATCTCACCCACTGAAGGCAGTTGGAGGCCCTAGACAAACTACATGAGCAGCTCTCTGGGGACACTGTAGATAAATGGTACCAGGCAGGCTGGAGAAGTAACTCCAAAGTAACACCAAGTTTGCATGGGGATGACAGAAAGCTTTCTGAGAAAAACCTCTTTCTCTGAACAAGAATAGGAAAGAGGGCCTTTTAGGGTCAGAGAGAGTGAGGGGGATCTCCTGGGTTTTCCCATTTGTTTTTTTCATTCACTCCTGCTTCAGAGTCTTGCATCACTGGAGTCAGCCAGGCAGGCACATAAAACTCTGCAGGAAGAGAACCATTGTCAGTGCCCAAACTGTGGTCCCAAGAGGGAGAAGGTTGCGTTTTTCTCTCCATCCTACTGTCACTTGGTCCTTGAGGCAAAAACAGTGGCAGAAAGTAAACAGCAGATTTAGAAAACAAAATTCCTAAATTTCTAGCCAGAAGACTAAGGGTGTGTGTGTGTGTGTGTGTGTGTGTCTGTGTGTGTGTTGGTGGGGGGAAAGGGGCTCCTAGGAGCCACAAAGTGCTGGGGAGATTACAGAGAGGAGGGAGTTTAATAAAATTGTGTATTAACTCCTGGATGCACCCTGAGCTTCCTGTTCATGGCTAAAACAATGAACAGGGTCTTCAGTACCTGATCCCAAACCCGGAAGACAAAGACTTTGAGACTTGAGCTAAGAGAAACCACTGTGCCAGTACCAAGATGGTGCCTGAGTGGCAACACAAGGGCCTGATTCAAATAGCACTGTAAGTCCTTTGAAAACTGACTGGACATTATAACCATAGTCTACAGAATCTACAGAAAGTATAAATATGCCAGAACTTGTACCCTGTGATTGCCTCATAAAAATATATATCTTGATATCAATATTGATGTATATATATATATATATATATATATATATATATATATATATATATATATATATATATATATATATATATATATATATATATATATATATATATATATATATTGTAGAAGAGAGGAAGAAGAGTGTGGTGCAGAAAAATATTTGAAAAAAAATGAGTAAAATATTCTAAAAGTTGATGAAAGACATAAAATTACAGATACAAGAAGCTCAGTGAACTCCAAACAGGGTAAATAAACTCAAAGCACACTCAGAAACAAAATCAAACTGCTCAGAATTAAATTTAAAAAACCTTAAAACCTGTCAGAAGAAAAGGACACATTACCTACAGGAAATAGCAGGAAGAATGACTGTAGTCTCTCAGTAGAAACCATGAAGGCCAGGAGTACTAGAAAATTACCTTTTGAAGTACTGAAAGAAAAAAATATCTATCAAACAGGCAAAAATATAGGTGTCCTTTACGAATGATGGAAAAATAAAGACATTGTCAGATGAATGAAAAATAAAAGGATTTTCCCCTAGCTGAGCTGCTGTAAAATAAATGCTAAATGAAGTTCTGCAGATGAAAGGGAACCTACACTAGAGAGAAACTCGGGCTTTGGGACTAAAGGAAGACCAATGGAAATGGTAAATATAATAGGCTACTTTTCTCTTCTTAAGATCTTTAAAATATTTGTGATGGCTAAAAGCAAAAGTTATAACACTGGGTTTTCAATGTATGTAGATAGACTAGATATGACAACTATAACATAATGGGGGAAGTTAGCAAGACGTATATGGTAGATAAGGCTTTTACATTGCTTTTGAAGTGGTAAAATGCTAATTCTATGCAAATTTAAGTATGTATATTTAAATCTCCAGAGCAATTATTAAAGCAATATACAAAGAGACAGAGTAAAAAACTAAATGTATAAATTTAAAAATATATTTTATGTATAATTACAAAAAGTGTACTTATATATAAATCATATATCTACATGTAATTATACTTATATATAAATATATGTAATTTACATTTTAAATATATCAATTAAAAATTAACAATAAAAAAATCAAATAATTGAAAAGAAATCAGGAAAAGGGAAATGGAAGAAACAGAATACAATTATTAAAATGGCAGACCTAAATCCAAATATATCAATACTTACATTAAATGAAAATGACCAAAACATTCCAATTAAAGGTATAATTATTAGAATGGATAATAAAGGAGAAAGACCCAATTATATGCTATCTATAAGAAATCCACTTTAAGCAAAGAAAATAAGTTAATCTAAAAGAATGGTGAAAGACAAACTATGCAAACACTAGAAAAACTGGAGTGACTCCTGTTAATATCAGTATGGATAAAATATATTTCAGAGCATGGAAATGTACCTGAGAATAAAATATAAAAATCCTAAATGTGTGCATGCCTAACAACAGAACTTTGATATAAATGAATCAAAATCTGATAAAATTGAAAGAAGAAATGGAAAATCTTTAATTAGAGTTGGCGATTTCAATACTTGTTTCTCAATAATCAATAGTACAACTAGAGAGAAAGTCAGCAAGGAACAGGGTTGCTCAATCATGGCTCTTGACATTTGGGGCCAGATAATTCTTTGTTGTTGACAGGGGTGGGGTGCAGGTGGGATAGGGTTAGGCCTGTCCTCTGCATTGTGGGATGTTTAGCAGCAGAAGCCAGAAGATACTATCCACTAAATGCCAGTAGCTCTGCACTAGTTGTAACAACCAATCATGTCTCTAAATATTGGCAACTGTCCACAGAGGAGAAAATCCCCCCCAGATGAGGATCACTGATATAGAAAAACTGAACATCACCATCAACCAACTATTATAGATCTAATTGACATTTGCAGAACACTCTACCCAGCAACAAGGTACACATTCTTCTCAAATGCACATATAACATTCACAAATATAGACTCTATTCTTGTTCATGAAACAAACCTTAACAAATATAAATGAAGTGAAATCATACAAAGAATGTTCTCTAAAAAGAATGGAGTTAAAT